GGCCTGCGCCTGTTCGTTTTTTTTTTTGGCGTGCAGCACGATTTCAGGCTTGGCCTCACCAGTACCTTTCCCAAATTGAAAATCAACATATGCGCCTGTATATTCGGGACCCAAGCGCAGTTCGGTACTACCGCACCGAAATGGCTGGTCGCGCCAGCCAAAATGAGGCCCGCGCCTGTTCGTTTTTTTTTGGGCGAGCAGCACGATTTCGGGCTCGGCCTCAATAAGCTGATGAAGGTAATGGTTGTTTAACATGTATATGCCTCGCAGGGTTCCTCTGCGGCCCTGCCCAATCTTACTATGGCCACAAGAAAATCACATGGTGGAAGCTTTTCTGAGCCTTCTGCTTTGACTCCTGTGATTGTCAGATCTTCCCTTCTCAGGCTCTTGACACTGTTGAGATTGCCACTTAGACGTTGACATTGATGTTGATGTTGTTCTCTTTTGTTTCTTTCCTTTCTTATGATCTTTCTTAAACCGCTACATCACGGCCCCAGCCTTGCAGAAAGTTTTTGTCGCCACAAGCAAAACTCGGAGGCGCCGCGCAGCCAGGCCCTCCGTCGAAAAGAAAAAAAAATGGTGGCCTCCTAAGTGGTGCGGGTTCCATGCTGACACCCGCGGGCCGATGTGTGGTGTACTGGTGCTTTAATGTTTCTTTCTTGAAGTTCAGTTCATCCATCAGTCGACACCCCATTTGTGCATCGTCTTTGAAAGCTTGCTGCGAGCACAAGAACTCATAATGCAAAACCTGCGCATACATTGATCCGACAAAGATATTTGTTTTAATTTTTTACGAGACAAATTGATTGCTGACGTACTTTGGAATCGTTGATTACAACAAGTAGGATCCTCAGAGGCTATATGCCCAGCAACCATTCTATCTCTCTGGTTGAAGATATAGGGTGAAGACGCTAGGATTCACAAGCTCAGTGCCGACAAAAGCACTCAACTCCACTTTTGTGGGCACTCAACTTTTGAATCCTGAGCATTTTAAGGTCCCAAGGATCCAAAAGTTGAGTGCTTTTCAGGGCCCACAAAAGCACTCACAACTTTTGTGGGCACTCAACTTCTGAATCCTGAGCATTTTAATGTCCCAAGGACCATAAATGTTTCTGAGTTCTTCTCTTTTCTTCAAATTGTTTCTTAGCCGAAGCCGGGTAATGACCCGGTGGTTCATCTTTTGTATTCTGATGAGGGATGCTGGGCCCGGTTCCAAGTCGTGTTGCTCCCCACGAATAGATTGGACC